TGGAAAGGGGTCCTTGTCCAGTAGATGTTGTCCAGAGGGGGGTCACCGGCAGGGACTCTGGGTGGATAGGTGGTGTGGTATGGTGCTGGTCCAGATGGAGAGGGCATCCCAAGGCGTCAGTCTTCACTACCCCTTTTATGGGGCAGACTACCTCTGATCTCCTATGGGGAGGGCCTGTCCAGGCAAGGTCAGTCCTGTTCCACAGGGCTCCAAGTGTTCTTACTGAGCATGTGCAGCCTGGCACAATGGTGGGTTGCCTCATCTTTTGTTCCTTGAATGGTGAGGGTCGTTCCAAGGGCTGGGTCATTGGCCAGATATTGGTGTTGATGGTTTGGTCATTCAAAGGGAGCTATTTTAGACCTACTGCCATTGTCTCTCAAGCACCCTCATTCATCCCCATTCATTCAGGAACCAAGTTACATAGGGGGGGCAGGTGCGAGCCATGGGTTACACAACCCGGCCTGGGGACCAGATGGAGACTTGACAAACAAAATGGAAACTTGACATGACTTATGCTAACTTACATATGTAGGCCTAAATCATATAGTACCAGTAAAACAGTAATATAGAACAGTAAAAAAATAAAAATAAAAATCAATATAAACATAATGATTATACAATATAATTAGACCATGGTTTCCCTCCAGGACAAGGAAGGACTCCGGGACCTCCCATTCTGTCCAGTCAGGGGGATGGACCAAGGTGATCAAGAGCCCTAAGGCCTGCCGCACCAAGGCACCTGCCACATCGGAGCTTAGCAACAGGTATGAAACTCTTGCAGCCCCAGCAGAGACTGCTGAGTTGCCAGCTCCTGCAGACAACACAGGCCGAACTGCAGCTACCACCCCCACTCTCCCCAAGACAAAACATAAAGTGTTTGTTGTGGTAGACTCCATCCTGAGGGGGACTGAGGGAGCAAACTGCCACCCCAACCCCTTAGCCCGGGAAGTCTGCTGCTTCCCAGGGGCTCGCATCCGAGACATTGCGGATAAGATCCCTAAGCTCCTCCAGCCCACAGATTACTATCCCATGCTCCTTATTCATGTGGGAACCAATGACACAGCTCGGAGCACTCCCAGCCGGATCATGAGGCGCTACAAGGATTTGGGAGCAGGGCTAACAGGTCTGGGGGCACAGGTGGTGTTCTCTTCAATCTTCCCAAAGTTTATTAAAGAGGCCATCCTTAGTGGACTGGCCGACACCAACAT